AAATGCTTTTTTTTTTGACATTTTGGGGGGGCCCAAACCCGCCACAAATACGCAATTCTATTTGACTTGTTTGTCATGTTTTGGCGGTTTTACACTGCCACAAAATGAATAGAAATGCAATTTTTGTCCCAGCATGCAGGCAAATAATGTGCGTTTTCAAGCACTCATATCAATTAAACTAAATAAGCTCATAGATCTCAAACTCAAATCAACTAGCAAACTAAACCAACACCCAAGTACCAAAATATGCACCCAAACAACAACACTCAATAGCACCTCAACCTCCTTATAATACACCTCAACAACACTTGATAGCACAACAAAAATCATATACAAAAAAAAAAACTCAAAAAATAGTGCAACTCTCAATACTTGTGAACATTACATAAACCAATATACAAACATTGCATAAACTAGCATTGCACAACCTAAAAGATGAAACAAATCATTGTATAAACCAACAAACCAACATTACATTGAAAAAATTGGACAAACAAGAGACAAGACAAGATGAACCTAGAAGACGAAGCGTTGCGACAACAGAGCAAGGTCACAAAGGTTGCTAGAAATGCTCATTGAACGAGGTCGTCAAAATCAACAGTCACCACAACATGACAAAGTGGCTCGACAAGGCCGTTGAATGGAGTAACAACTTCATCCCTAAAGAGAAAAAGGAAGAGCAATAAAGTGTGAATGAGTTTGTGTCCTCTCTTAACCTAATAACAAGACATTTTATGATGGGTGGTGATTTACTCCATCATAAAATGTGATTAAAACACTGACAAATTTAAGTTAGAAGGATAATTATTTTTTTAAAATAATAATAATAATAATAATATGTATGAAGAATAAAATATAAATTTTAAAAATTATAATTAGTGAATTTAATATATAAAATTAGGAGTTTATAATATAAAATTTTAGATATATACTAATAATTTAATTAAAGTAAAAAAAATTATAATTTGTAAACTATAGGTTACCCACTGCTCTTAGGATTGATTGCTTTCGGTGTTTAAAAAAAAAAAACAACGAATTTTGTTTAGAAATGAGAGAAAAAAAATTTAAAAGTCTAGAAGAGAAATCACAAAATAACAAAAAATTAGGATTTGGGGTTTAACCATTATATTCAATTTTAGACAAGAAATTAAATTTTATTCAAAATCGATCAATATCTCTAACAACTATTATGGAACACTTTGAGATAACTAAGCATATAATTATGCTTAGTTAAATCTTCATATAGAATAAACATTGTAATATACTACACATGTAATTATCCATGTCAACACAACAAAAAATAAATTAGTAATAATTAAAATATTTATTTAATTATTACTATTTTAATTGAATTCAAATTTGTAATTTAAATTTTTAACATTGACTATAATTTAATTATTTTAACATTGTCTCACAAATTTATATATTTTATTTTAATACACCTAACATTACCTAATTAACATTATTCTATATTTAAAATTTATTGAAAATAAATATGGGCTTGTTTTCAAGCACTCATATCAATTAAACTAAATAAGCTCATAGATCTCAAACTCAAATCAACTAGCAAACTAAACCAACACCCAAGTACCAAAATATGCACCCAAACAACAACACTCAATAGCACCTCAAGATCGGA